TTATCTGATCATGTTATCTCTCATGCATATCATTATTTGCCTTTACCCACCCACATGTTAATACTCTTTTAATGTTCTTTTTTGTTTCTGCATTTTTTATTTTATTTTTTTTTCTTACTTGCTTTGATTCAGCTTTATTTTCCTGTATTTTGATCATGTAAAGCACTTTGCATTGTCTTACTCTTTTTACAGCGCTTTACATGTTCTGTGTTTCTATAAACTGCCTGCTGTCATTATTTTCCTTTTTTAACTTAAACATTTCTAATTTTCATCTGAGTATACAGTTTTACTGATTATTGCATTGTTTCTTTTTATTTCTTGGATGTCTTTTTATCTTTTGCAGTATAATTTCAACTTTTGTCGATGTTTTCAAATCTTGTTTGTGCCTGTAAGCTTTTTTCCGTCTACGTTTTCCACTCCCTGGCTCAAGTTTCCCTTCTTTTGGATGATAAAGGTATTTCTATTTTATTTTGAGTAATTACTAGCAAAATAATTATTTAACGAATAGACTTCTGAATAAATCTATTGGGGTTACAAGAAACTAAATCTGTCCCTTTTTCAACTGTTTACCACAAAATAACATGGTCATTGCTACCAACTGTGCCTCATGAAACTCAAAAAAGTTTTTTCATTATTTTATCTTTGAAAATATCAAATAAGGATGTAGAAACATGTCACAAACTAACGACTTGGGAGGTCTAAAGTAATGCTAAAGTTCACTCTATTCTATACAGTGAAGTGAAGTGTATGACACATGCTACTGAACCATTTTATATTTTTTTCCATTCCACACCATTTGGGTTAAAAGAAAAACAAATACAGCAGGTTTTTGTGTTCGTCTGTTATTTTACCATGATGAAAAAACAAATGGACCATTTTTATTAATAAAACCAAAGTCGACAGGGCTGATTAAAAAAACGTTAATCTTGCAGAAAGCTGCAGGGCCTGTCACGCTTTGTCTATTCAGAGATGTGGAGGAGTAAAGTACAGTTACATAAGAGTGAAAAAATGTAGCTGCTCTATTCATCCATGATTTAGAGAACACTCTGAACTCAGATGTTCATCAGTAGGCATTCATAAAAATAGAATTTCATGCCGAGGCTCATTATATTCACAGACCACTAAAGAAACCATTGAGCTTTACTTTGTAGAGGCTATTTGTAAAATCATTAAAGCTATTTTATTATAAAGGGGTATTATTTACGTATATAAAAATTATTTTGGTTGAGAAAACAAGTAGATATAAATATATAAAAAGATCTACCAAGCCATATGGCCAGCTTAGCAATCTAAAATAATTCTTCCAGGTTTGATTTGACATATATAAACCTGTTTAGTTATAAAATCTTTATTAATAATTTAATATTAACAAAAGAACAACATTTTTTTTTCAGTTTTGTGCACCTTTGTTAGTAGAACAGTATCTCTGTTCTCCACAGGTTTATTTTCCTCTGATAAAGCTCAGACTAACTCATTTTGCTCCTCATACCATTTCTGTGTTGCCCAGATGACTTCTGCACAATAACTCATTTATCTTGCGCTGATAAAGAATTTGCATTGTTATTCAGGGAATGAGTTCTCGGTAGAGCCACGCACTGTGTAAAAAAAAAAGTATTTCAATTATTGTTCAGAGTCATTTGTCATTCCATCTAATACACAGACATTCTTAATAAATGTAGGTGATTACCTTTAATAATCTCTTGCGGTTAATGAACTGTTTCTCAACACAGGAGTAATTAATGTGTTTGCACTTGACCACCTTTAAAGGTGAGGTTGCCTCTGGATCTGAGACCAGGGAAACAATAGAAGTTTAACAAGCCCTATATTTTATGAAAATAATGACAAACTCCATTTTTGTGATTAAATTATAAAACAAGTGTCCTCATAAAAATAAAACATTGTCTTATAATCCTTCTCTCATGATGTTTCACTTAGAAATACAGGCAAAGCTTTTATATTCGGCATTGTGTTGACTTCCTATTCCAGGAATGACCTTGCAGTGTGAATAGCAAAGTGTGATAGCAGCCTACCATAAATCACTGTCAAAGCGCAGACGGATCCCATCCCAGGTAATCTATTTGTTGGGGGAAAATGCTGTGTAATTTGTTCTGCGTTTCTTGCAGGAGAAGCAGAAAAAGGGTGTGTATTTGCAGCATCTTATGCATATGTGGTATTTCTCGGCAGTAGGTCTATAAGAAGCCAGACTTTGTTTTATGGTTTTGAGAAACAAAAAATTCAAATTATTTGTGCTAAAGTAGGTAAAAAAAATGTTCTGTCTTACATGTACTGATCCATTTACAAAACAGTAATGTTAGGCTTTCTTTTCTTAAATCAAAAGGCTGTTCAGGATCATTGTGTTGTCAATCTGTATTATATTTTCTTTGGTATTTAGCTTTATTACCTTTGTATATCATTATATGATGTTTGTGAATTATCGCATTCACTTTCATTCACTTTCTTTTAGCTAGAGAAGGAGAAAAAAATGTAAACATTGTATGATTGTAAATAAAATTGCTATAATAAATATAAGTTTTTAATTTATCTAATAGGTATCTTGTAAATGAGGACATGAGTGTTTAAATTGTGTTTGTTTTTCATAAATGTATTTAACGGGCTGCAGCTGACAGATTTAACTCCGTCTTTTAAAGTTCATTTCTTTGTATCATGTTTTTTCTATGATTTAAAGTTTAAAACCACAGCTTATTATGAATTATGTAAGTGAATTTTTAATCACCTTTCTCGTGGATTAGCAGCTATTTTACACTGATTTAAAGCCTTGGGTGGCTTTAAATTAATTATCCTTGGCAGTGAGTATGGATGGATTAGTTCGTTTTTTTTCCTATTTATTCACAAACACTCTTAAGTCTGCCCCAGAAATTGCAGTCAGGGTTCACATTGGTTCTATGAGAATGAATAGGTCTTTATGCCATTTTGGGTCAGCAGTGCAATCAGATCACAGTTTCCTTATGTAACTATCCCTGAAGCCTGCAGAAATGTTCAGCTGGGTTCAGCGCAACTTAATGGATTAGAAAAGACTGGAAGGAAAAATGGAAACAAAGCTTTAAGAAAATGAGTTTTCAGGTTGGATTTTTTGGGTTAAGTCAGAATTAAACTAGATTTTCGTGACTGGATTACTGTGCAAACCCAGAATGTAGAGGAGTTTATTCAGGCCAAACACAGATGGAGAAGTCCCACATCCTGTTCGTCTGTCCTCAAGGGTCCCATCTCTTAACCTGGCTGTTGTCAGGTTACCCATCTCTGGGCATGTTTGGAAAAGCAAGAAAATCAATCAGTGTCAATTAGAGGTGCAGTCAAAGTGAGCCACATACTGGGGACGGAGCAGTCAACAGCAGGCAGCGCAATTACTCTGCAAAACCTGCAGAAAGTGCTCCAGGTGTGAAGATGGACCAGTGCATATAAAAGGCTCTCATTGAGTTTTATCTTACACTCTCAGGTACCCCTGCGAGCGGAGACTTCAACTGAGAGAGCTACACTGGAAGCACTCTGTCTCAAGACTTTCATGTTTCACACCTGTCCCTGTCAGGAGGCTCAGTTTGGGATGCCATTCTACATAATCACTCTGATCTTCAAAGCCCCTTTTCTCCCTCTTTCTGCAGCTAATGCCCTCATACTGATACCTCTCCAATGACATACAAGCAGCATGAACTCCAAGCATTGATTTCAGATTCTTCTGTCTTCATCCAGGCCCTTCCTCCGCTGCCCTAGGATTGGGGAGAATGTCAGCCACCGAGTCTAAATGAAACTCTCAAACCTGGGTGTGTAATCACATTTGACTTGAGGTGTGAACAAGTCAATCAGGCTGTGGTTTCTCATTATAATCAAGATATTATATTTAAAACTTCATCTGAATACAGACAACACAAAGGCTTACATCAGCATGTACCTCAAGGAGATGAGCATTCAGACAAAGCTGACTAAGAGCAAGCAGGGTGCATGGTTGCTACAAACAATTGCTGTTTACTTCTTTATTGTATAATTTATCCTAATTTAAGAGGTAACTATGGGCTTTACTGCAACTCATTTTGGCTTAAATAAATAGTAAGTTTGCATTAAAGCCTTTAACGAGCATCAACAAGATCTAGACATCAAATTATTTAAGAATTGGATTCACTGTTGATCTAATTAGTATTTTACACTTTCCAATTATTGTTCAAACAGAATAAACACAAATTAAATCATATTGAGACTGGCAAACAAATAAGAACATTGGAGATTCTTACGGTTTTTACAATAATGAGGTTTCATTTATAACTGCCGGCCTCTGCAGTTTATCTGGACCCTGGAGTGTTTTGTACATAATGTGAGGTCTATGTCCCTTTTAAATAGTTTTCATGTTTCTGAAAAATAAAGAATAGAAAATTACAGATATCTGCTTTGAGAGCCAGTCAATGTCATATCTAGACAAAGGCTAACTTTATATCTGTCTGTAAAATATGTGGTCATTCTAATAAATCTGAGGTTTGGATTAAAAGGTTTTAATAGTGGCAGAAAAAAGGAAATTTACAATGAATATGTCTTATTTCAAAACCATCAAAACTTTAGAATTTTGATGAAGTTTTACTCTAAATGATCTAAAACATAAACTTTATCTGCATTACTCAGTATAATGGCACACAGATGCATTTCCTGTTTCAGCGTGGTGCTTTCAGTTTGTGCGTCTTTGCCCTTCAAGGCTTCAGTCGTCACCGGTTTCTGTGGCAACCCTGGATTTGAAAATAGCTTCATGTCTAACGGCCCCCATGCTGTCGCAAGCTCCCAGGCTGAAGCCCACTCTGGATCCATGACTCATTCATTGCTTATTATCATCCCACTCTCATTTCATGTCATCCTGCTGAAATGGTTTGCATGGTGTGGGGGAGGCGGGGTAGAGGCTACTACAAAGCCGGTTTATCCACACTGTGATTGGCTGGTGGGATCCATTTAATCTGCTGCAACTACTAGAGGGTCCACCTCCATCCTCCTCCCCCTCTCTTCTTTGCAGCCCTCCTCTTTCAGCATCCACACACAACAGTGTGCTGTCTCTGTTCCAGGGGAGAGTATCGGCTCTGCACAGGGAGGAGAGGATTAGCCCAGCCACTCATCTCATCTGCATTTGCAGTTTCTAGGGAAGCACATGAGCATCCAAGGCTGCACCCCTTTGTATAAATCCTGGCACTCCAATCATAGAGGCTGCACTTCATCTGCTGTCACTGCTCTGTGAAGATTCTGACTATTTTTTTTTTTCTTATCTAAAGGTGTTTTTAATACTTTTTGCCACTATTATGCCGTCAATGTGCTTATCTAACTGGAAACATGCAACTCATATTGTTTGACAGTTATTTCCTCTAAAAATCAAGGAGATTATCCTCTTTTCTTTAGGACTTTTTCCACTTTCTTCATCTTTTTGTCCTGTTTGGGGACTGAAGCCTCAGAATGCCATCTCGAGAGTCCTATGATGTTCAAAAGAAAGAGAAGCCTCTGGTGCAAAAGGCCAAGAGAGAGGCCAGTCAGGAGGACATTCTGGCTGCGGCTCTGGGAATGAGGATGGGGCCACAGAAACCTTCAGCCACTTTTTGGCAACCACTTAAACTATTAGCCTACTCACAGTTCACCTCACTGGTGCGCAGAGCCACACTGAAGGAGGTTAACCGGGAGCCCAGGTCTGAGAAAGTCCACAACTTTAAGGTAAGATGTCTCTACAAAACTGTGGTTTCATGGCTTCATGTTTTGCCGGAGGGCTTTTTAACTGGGAGAGCAGAGAGGGGGGGTGGGAAACGTAGCTGTTTTGGTCTGTCCAAAGAGGTTCTATCAGCACTGCTGTCAGTAAGAGCACCAGATGGAGAGATTATGAATCTGGATGAGGGTGAAAGGCTGGAGCAGTGCATCCCTGTTTGGCTCCAGTTTGGGGTTTTATTGGGACAGAGAACAGCAGCAAGCCGATAACTGTTTTTAAACTGCTAATCTCTTCCTGCTGCTTTGTCCTTTGTGAAGTTTGTCATATTGAACATCACTGATGATGTTTTGCTGTCATCATTAAAAATCATAAAACTGACTCACAAAATTGAGCTTTTTTTCTAATTTCAACCCAGTAAACATCCTGAAAGTTAATTACATTTAAAGTATTTTTATTTTGCAGTAAAAGAAAAACAAAACAGACCCCAATGGAAATGCCACTAAAGTAAAATCCTTTAGATTTCATAATAAGGAATTGAAAATAGATTAGAATGGGTTTATGGTGCCACAGATTGTATTCAAAAAACAAAAACTGCTTTAAGTTTTTATCTTAACTCATGCTTCTTAATTATGATTTATATTTACATTTTTAATGGAAGAAATGTATGACCCAATAGTTATTAATTTAATCTGGTACAATGCATCTGTAATTCATCCATTAATCTTTATTCATAGACTGGTTTTCATACACAAAGTGGGCAACGCAAACTGCTTTCCATCAGATAAAAACAGAGGACAATGATAAAGAAACAAATGATACGGTTAAACAAAATGATGCTGGTCTTAGGACAGATTAAATTATTTTAAGGAGGCAGTTGTGATGATAAATAAACACAAGAAGTGATAATTAAACTGCAAGAAATGCATATTTTGAGATAAAATGATTATACTAATTTTATTTAGTATAATAATTTGTTTACAAAATGTAAACAAGAAGAAAATTATATTAAACAGCAAATATACAATTATTTATAGAAGCAGTTTATAGGAGCATTTATAGGAGCAAATGCTTATCAAATGTATGCTGTGCTGTCATCACTCTCATATAAAGGGAGGTTTTACCTTTATCCCTTTATTAAAAGAGAAAACAACAAACCACAATATGAGACTTTTAATATCTTATCCCTATAAGATTTATGTTGTGTTTGTTTTTTCCCCACAGCCCCTAACAAATAGAAAAACACGTTTCCCTCTGTGTCCTTTATTAATTTGCTGCAGGAACTGGAAGAGTACTGGTTTGTTCTTGTTTGGTTCAGGGGCCTCTCTGATTGGCTGGGCTGTTGTTACCCACTGGAGTGTGGGAGCAACCTTTGCTCTAATGTTTCCGCTGAAGTCTCCCAGCAACTTATACCTTCACTGTGTGGAAGGAATAAGTTGTCCACAGTCTCCTCCACCTTCAATTTTATGGCTGAATCCCATTTCCATAATGTCCATTATAACAGTGGTGAAACAGCTGGAACTAAATCATGTTATTTCCTGAGCCATAGGAGACGCTGCAGCCATATTTAATAAATATTTTATAATATAGGATCACCAATATTTTAATTTTGAATTAATACAGGTATTTCACATATCTCATGATAATAAATCATTGTCATAAGTTAAGAATAGTTCAGTCTGATTCTAAAAGATTTTTATGCTGGTCTTAATGGTGCTGATACCAGTAGCAAAATAATTACTTCTCTGTTTTTGTTCCAAAAGAAGGTTTAATAATTATTTGCTTTTGTTTTAACTTATATTTTTTGGTGTAGACTAATCTACCGGTAATAGAGATTTGTTGTGCTGATTCCTTAAAACACATGTAAATGACCCTTTATAATTAGTCATTTGAATTGACATGTTCTTCATCACCAGTGAGTTAAAATCTATTTAGGGGCCCAAATACGACATTTTTATTTTTGCTAAAATGTATTGACCCAATCCTCATACACCCTGGGTGGTTTGTTATATTTCCCACATTAAACCGCAGTTAAAAACAAGTGGAAATATATGAAAAGGTTTCTGTGAAAATAACATGGGTTAAATGTCTGCACTCTTTTCCATTATTGTCTTCTCTCCTGCAGGTTCACACCTTCCGGGGGCCTCACTGGTGCGAACACTGTGCTAGATTCATGTGGGGAGTGATGGCTCAGGGGGTCAAATGTGCAGGTATGTTCTATTCATTACATAGAAATAAAAAATAAATACCCTGCTTCACCTCTTTGCTACATGTCTTTGTGACACTGGTGGGGTTTTTTTAAGCATTTCTCTATATGGATTATTTGGTTTACAGTACATCTGGTGCTGAAATATTGGATTTTAATCCAAAACTCCCAACACCAGTTTGCGGATTATTGATTGTACAACAGAGTGAAATGAGTGCTCTCTGGTTGTGATGTAACAGATATGCAATGGGATGTAAAACCCTATTTTTGACCCACTTTTGTCAGCTCTAAGTAGCAAGTGGGTCAGTCATGAGGAAAAATTACTTTCTGAGACAAAAATTTCATTATTATCAAATCTGCTTCAGTCGTGGATGCATGACTCTGTTTATTATCACATAAACAGAAGCTTTCTGAGTTATCCACTGAGGTGATTTAATGGGGAAAAAATGTGCAGCTTTTTGGGGCTGAGCATATATACAGTACTAAGTCAAATGGAGTTCATTTTTTTTAAGCATTTTTTGTCATCTCTGGTGATGGATTATGCTTTCCAGGCTCGGTACATTTAAAGAAGAGAAGCACTGATCCGTGACCAACCAGTTGGAAACTCAAAAATCCCATCTTTTTCCAATCAGAAAATGTATCAGACTAATTAAAGTCACATTACCAACAATCTTTCTCCTGATAAAGGCACACAGCTAGAAGATTAAGCAATGTTTTTAAAATGAACTCAGTAAGAGCACACTGATGTAAAAAAAAAAAAATAAAGTTAAAAAAAAATCCTTAAAGGGAAGTTTTGTTTTTGCAATGTATAGACCTCTTGGCAATAAATAATAAAAAAGGAGAAGGATACAGCAAATCCATTTTACCATTTTAGAAATGCTGGTAGCCTATTGGAAATCTTGGAGTTAATGTAAAAATCTTCATCCTTTCAAAAATACATATATTTATAGGCAGCTGTTTTAGTACTACACATGATATGTGCTAAAATAGAGCACCAAAGACAGTTTAACTATTGGCAACTATTTGCAAATTTTACCAAATCTTAGAAAAAATACTTTTCTCTCTTGCGGGGCGATGTCAATTCTACCCCAAAATTTTAAAAAGGATGGGTTTTCATGCCTTCAAAGCAGGTAAAACTCCTTTTTACAGCCTTTCTTGAAAGCTGTATTAGCATGTTTAAGCACACCGATAGAAACTCAGCCTTAAAATTCTAATCAACATGTTGTCTATACTCCCCAACTATGTTTTGTCCTCCTTTATTTGATCAGTTCTTAGGTTGTGAGTAAAATCCTTTGACTGCGTTTGATCTCTTACTTGTCAAATACTCCAGGTGAGATTTCTATCTCACTGCTGTAACCCAGTCTGATGTGTTTCTTTGATGTTTTATTGATGCAACAAAGTGTGTCACATAACTCTGCAAGAGCTCTGATATTAATTATTAACATACTGATGCTAAGCCCTGACAGCAATCCATATAAAGCTACATATGGTGGAAGCCAATCTTTATCAGCCACTTACATACAGACACATCATTCCTTCAGACTAAACACCAGCCTCCTGAATCTGGGGCAGCAAATTCTCCCATGATTCTCACATTTGCATACCAAAAACAAGAACAAACCCTCTTCCACCCCCTGTTTCTTTTTTTATGTGTGAACTGTTTTTGGCCCTGTGCCAGAGAGCGAAGATCTGCTTGCGCTTGTTGTGGCACATTTCCTCCTCAGCAGAGTGAACCCCCCACCCACCCACCAACCCACCCACAGACTCACCCAGCCTCATCCCATCATGCCCGTAAAGGGAAACAAAGCTGGCATATCTCTTTAATGAGGTGCAGAATTGGGGCTGTGTGGAAATGAGCTCTATTTTCTGCACACACACATTGAAATTTAGCCTTTTTCAATCTCAAAGGTCAAGCCTTATTTAACCCAAGTGCTTGAAATAATATATACAAAAAGGGAAACTTACAGAAAACAGAATCCTTCTTGGCGGTAAGGTACAGTGTAAAAACGATCTAGAAATAAGCTAAAATTTCTTAAATTAAGTGTATTTACTCTTAATTTGAGTGGGTAAATGAAATGCTTTGCCAATGGAATTAGTATTTTTACTTTTAAAAGAAGATATTTAGATAAAATGCACTGGAAATAAGACAATGCAATTGTGTTTTCTTATTTTAAATGTAAATTGTCTTGTTCCATTGGCATAATGTGTCTTTTACCTGCTCAATCCAAGAACAAATGCACTTATTGTAGGAAAAATAACTTATCTAGATTTCCATTTTTTTCCAGTTTATCCAACATATTTTCTAGACTGAGTGGTAATGTGCTGATAAGAAAATTAACAACCCTTTTTCAAATGTGAGAATAGCAAAACCCAGAATCTAAGCTCCCTTGGGATCAGCCTCCCCCACCTGGGACCCAGGACCATTGCCGTCTTCTCATGCACAGGGATAGCTCAGCAGGGATGCAACCAATGACACATACATCCCTGTTATACAGCCCGTCTCGTGTCTTTAAGAGAATCATCTCTTAACTTAATTACATTTCTGCATCAATGCATATAAATTCAGTAGGTACGAATTTCTCCAGGGACCCAAATTAATCTAAATATCCTCCAATGCTTTTTTTCCCTCTTTTAAAATGAAGAAAATGTTACATATTTTCTCTAGCTTGTAAACGTACATTTTAATGCCTTTTTTTTGTGCCAAATGGCTGATTGCAGTTGTGAAGAAAAAAAACCCTCATAGTACTTGAAGACACAAGACCATCAAAGATCTAAAGAGCTAAAGAGATGGCCCATTTCAGTCTGGGAAAGTAGGTCTTCTGTAGCCTGCAGCGCCTCAATCACTGCTTCCACTCACAATGTGTGCAAGCTTAGATTTGGAAAAGAATAGAGCCCTGCGCTCCGTCCTTCCTCTGGGCACCAGCATTTTCACTGTGCCTCCAACTCCCTACATGTGTCCCTGTTAGAGAGCAGGGCTGCAGTCTGTCTCTCTCTCTTTTTCTCTTTCTCTCTCTCTGTCTGCTGATGCTCTATTCTTGAAACAATAAAAGAGAAGCTGCGCCTCAAGGTCTAGAATGCTGTGACTGAGACAAAGACACAATATGTTCTGCTTTTCCTGATATGCTTCTAAAACTCTAGTTGGAATCCGTATAATGTCTTGTAAATATATTTGCACAATTTAAACACTGCACTGCATTCAATCTTGTCTTTTAGTTCATCCTTCCTCATTTAGTTCATTTGAACTCATTTAAGACCATTCGGAAGAGAATTTGAAGGTTGCTCCAACACAGCAAGGAGTCTCAAGAGGTTCTGTGACATTCAAACAGCTAAAATAAAAAATAAAAACACTAAGAAATCCTCCGCTGAGCTCTGTAGTGTATTTGTTACCAAATGCATTCAAGTGAGCAAAAACCCCTCATCAAAGCTGCTTACTAATGATCCCACTCCTCTTTTTATAGACTGTGGTATGAATGTTCACAAAGAGTGCTCGGCTCAGGTACCCGACGACTGCAAGCCCAACCTGAGACACATCCGCAAGGTTTACAGCTGCGACCTCACAACATTGGTAAAGGCCTACAACACAGCCCGACCCATGGTGGTGGACATGTGCATACGAGAAATCGAGTCCAGAGGTTAGTTTTTTGACTTTTTAAACACAGATTAGCATTTTCTCTTATTTTGGCACAGTTTGTCATATCACATCTACAAACATTGAATTGTTTTAATTGGGATTTTTATGTTATGCTTACTTTTCAAGTGGAAGGGAATTTAATACCCCCCTTTTGTTCAACACCTCCAATTCTGAAAAACTGAATAAAAGCTTCCCCACAGGATCATCCTGACCCCAACATGTATATTTGAATTTATTGCATTGGCCAGAAAGTTAAATTTTGGTGTTTAGCTGATCACTTTCTCCAAATGGTATTTCCCCTATTAGGGATTTGGATTTTCTGAGCATGACTTTCTTTCAAAACCAGCTCTATTCAGACCTCTCTATCATTTAGGCTAGATTTGTCAAGCGCACACCTGATAGTTGCTAATGTATGTATTTATACCTAGATTTAATTATACCTAAGTCATCTCTTAAAGACTTATTTCAATTGAAGATGTATCAAAGGAAAGGGAAAAAAAATCCCTGTGATCCATTGATGTTATAGTTTATTACAGTCTTAAAGCACCAAAGACTTGCTTTGAAAAGCAGTACAAAGACAAAATACCGTAAATATATTTATTGTTGAAAAATTTGAACGAATCCCTATACCTGTAGAAATGTATCACATCTTAACATTTAATGTTTAAAAGCTTTTGGCCTCTGGGTAACTTTAAAGCTTTTGCTGCCTTGTGTTCATTTGCTATCAAACAGCTTTCTTTCAAGTGCAGTGTGTGTACCCTTTGGGTTGTAGTGTTTAAAGTCTGATTCAATTACCAACTAATTTGATGTTTTTGTTTGCAAGTGGAGGCAGAGAGGAGTGATGAGATTGCTGGTAATTGCAAATGTGTAATGAGGAAAATATTACTCTGTTTCCTGCTGCCTTAGCTGATTGCGTTTCAGTTAAATCATTCAGGGAAGTCTCATTGTCTGCCCTCCAATGTCTGTCTGTAGCTAAGTTTGATTTATGTCTTTATTATTTTGCTCAGTGATGCAGAAAACTGTTTCCATGCAACCATGTTTTCTTCATTGCGCAACACTGAGGATGTTTTGTCTTTAATATTAGTTCCCAAATTAGACATGTGTGTTAGGAGTGTCTATGTCTCTCCTGTCGGTATGTCTGACAGTTAAAAGCTGTGCTTTTTTTCTGTGTTTTTTTTGTAAGGACTGAGATCAGAGGGCCTCTACAGGATATCTGGGTTCAGTGATTCAGTGGAAGAAGTCAAGATGGGATTTGATAAAGGTCTGTCTTCTTTGTTTTATATATCAAGTTTAAGTATCAGGTCAAAGATGACACTTGAAGACTCTGCCTGTTTGCATGTCCACAGAAATCAGATCTCTATGGATTAAACATAAATTGACAGGATTAGTGTCCATCCAGAAGAGGAGATTCTGACATCTCCCTCTCACGCAGGATTTCACTGTGTGGACAGACGGGAGGGGGCCTTAGAGGGGTCACACTGTCTTAGCTGTGGGCGTGTTGGGATTCAGTCATCAACTTAGTGAGAATAAACCTGTCGTGGCTGAATGCAGTTTGAATTTTAACTGTTAGAAAAACCAAGCAGCAGCGGACTGAACCCAGAGCCAGATCGGCATGCAGGATATCATCCATGACAGAGTGTCATTCCAGCTCACAGCTCTGTGATGCTCAGTCTGCCAGCACAAGTAGGCCATGCTCTCCTCTGGAAAGCATACATAAATGAGCCAAAGTCAGAATTAAACAGGCCAAAGGGATGATAGCTGATACTTTGGAAGAAAAAAATAAGAGAGAGAGATGAAATTGGATTTCTTCCAGCAACCATAACACAGTTTCTTTACTCCTCAGTTCACCCTATGATGTGAAAGTGCTGATGTGAGCATTTGCAGAGCGAGCAATCTCGTTTTCTCACTTCCATCTACCTTGTCCTATCACACATCTCTGCAGATGGAGAGAAGACAGATATCTCAGTGAATGCCTATGAAGACATCAATATCATCACAAGTGCACTGAAGCTATATCTCAGGGATTTGCCTGTTCCTGTGATCTCCTACGACGCTTACCCCAGGTTCATCGAGGCCACAAGTATGTCACTGTTTAAGAAAAGCTGAAACACACAAACATTATCAACAAAGAAAGCTTTTATTTTCATTTTACATTTAATTTGCATAAGAATAAGTACAATCTTTGATAAACTGGCTTTAGGAAAAAACATTAGATGGGTGAAATAATCTGTAAACTAAGGAAATGTACTGGTATTGATTGATTTTATTACAGACTCAAGGTCCAATATACATTAAAAGAAACAGATACACTAAGAATAAAAAAAGAATAAAAGTACAACAGAGAAGGTGCCTACCCCTTCAGGAGGCAATTATACTGGTAGATAGCAGAAAGGCAGAGCTTCCTTCCTAATAAATCTGTAATATTAGATTTCCTTGCTAAGATATTTGCTGCATTTCTATAAAAGAATTGCATTTATATCTATACTACAGGATATACTGACAATAGACAGAACGCAGTTGATGTGTTGTACAGAACATTTACAGCTATTGGTAATTTTCAGCTCTAAATCCTTTGTTTGATTTTTTCACTATAAGCAAAGTTAAATTTAAAAGATGATCGACTAGATATAAAAATAGCAAATTACACAATAAAACACATAAATACTTAGAACAGTAAGTTAAAAAAAAAAACTAAAATGATGCAAAAAATCTAAAATGAAAAACAAAAGCATACATCCCCAAATGGGACCTTTTTATCAGAACACAAGGCATTGCACGAAATGTGGTTGAATCAATGCATTTATTGCCTTTTCCTTTTCTTTTCAATAAATAATTAATGCTGACAATGCAAGTTGCATAATGGTGTTGGGCAGTAAAACCTGTCTTAACTTGCTCCAAACCAGCGGGCTCTTATTATATTTTCCACTCCTCTTTACAAATGCTTTAGGCGGACAACAGGAAGTACTTACATTCTTCACTGTTTCCTCTGGGGTTAGAAAGTTATGTCTGGACATTTCAAACGCAATAAATTATTTAAAATGCAGGGTGCCTCAGTTACCAGGTGTCCTTTGCTTTAGCTATTCATTCATGCCAAAAGATTATTTTTCCCTTTTTAGTTCTCCTTCCTATATACACTTTTCTTTGGGAGTGCTACATATGAAAATAGTCTAATTGCCACATATTTTGTTTATTGCATCCCATTTGTATTTTATTTTCAATCATACAACTCTTTCTATAGGTCTTCAGAATTCATAAAAAGCATGCAGAATTTTTTTACAGTGACATAATTCAAACTAGTCAATTTGCAGAAACCCTTTAATAGCAGGATTAGGAGTTTTTTTAACCCTCTAAATAAATGAGCATTGTCTTCGCTACATCATCATTCCCAACACTGCATGCCCATGCAGGATAGAGCATTTCCTATTTTAAGTTTTGTGCATCCAAACTCTAAATGTTGATAGTATATCAGTCTGTTGGAGGCAAACGGTGCTCAATAAAACACAAGTTCAAAATATTCTGATTTTGAAAATAAATTGATGAATATTTAGGGTTGTTATTTTTATACGTTCAACCACAAAAGTAACATCTGTACAAATAGGTGTTTGTCTGCCCTCTGTGAGTTGGTGTTTTACAGAGCATCACCACCTCAGGAGGGCCAAGTTCATTTGTTTATAATAGCAACTTTTATTTCATTTTATATGTGTTCAGCAGTATTAATTTTGAACTGATCTCTGACTTTCCTTGTAGAATATCTGATCGAATATCTGATTTTTCAGAATCCTGAACATTTTTTTTAAGAGAAAGCATCACTAGGTTTCTGTGGTATCAAATCTGTTCCCCGGGCGAACAGAAAAAATAATAATTGATTAAATGTTTCTGTTCAAGGAAGGCAGGGTTTCATTTCTTTCATAGATTTTGTACTTTTCTAAATCAAAACTTCCTAAATTCAGATTTATTTCATTCATCAGTTTTAAATTGAAAGTTGAGTATTTAAAAATTTAAAATTATGTCTTCTGTATTTTGATTCTTTTCCTTTTTTACTATTCTACTATGGTTTAGCATGCCATTGTTGCGGCCTCTCTCTGGGTTTCTAAATGACTATCGGACAACATATCTCTTTAATTAAAACTATTATGTAGATGTTTTGAGCCACTTTACCCCTCGGGCCCCTGAGCTGCGCCCCTTGAGTCCCTTTCAATAATCTTTGCATGCTGATCACGTCATCCTCTCCATTTGGCAGAGTTCACAGATCCTGAAAAGAAGCTTGAGGCTTTCCGGGAGGCTCTCGCTCTGCTGCCACCATCACACAAGGAAACTCTCAAGTACCTCATGGCCCATTTAAAAAGGTGAGTTATACAAGCACACCATGTTATAGCTAATAGACAGAATGAAGTAAAAAAAAAAAAAAAAGTTTAATTTCACTACCACTGACATGGAGGTGTATCTATGTCTATCTGAAATATTCCAGGGTTACACAGAATGAGAAATTTAACCTGATGAGTGCGGAAAACCTCGGTATTGTCTTCGGCCCCACCCTCATGCGTGCACCCAACCAGGATGCCATGACAGCACTGAACGACGTCCGCTACCAGAGGCAGGTGGTGGAGGTCCTCATCAAAAACGAAGATGTGCTCTTTTAAGCTCTAAACAGGACATTTGAGACAACATTTTGCAACTTCTCTTTTGTGTAAAGACTTATTTTGTATCATAGTGATGGGTACTTTTTGAAATGCCTTGCATATGGACTAACATCTGGGTGCAGATTATGCACACTACACCTATTTCCTGACTCCCCATTTTTGTCGGGGTTGCTTTAGAAGTTGATAGACCAGCATGCATGGTGCAAGGTCTCTTTTGACTTGTTGTAATTTAGCATGTGTTCAGACTGTGATTTTGCTTTAGTCGTGTAGTAAGTAGTTATCATCCATGTTCCTTTTTACATACTTTGCAGTTATTTTTGTGAAACGTTATACATCTGGATGTATGAATAAGCTACTAAATTTTCTTAGGTGATTTTTTTATGATGCTGTATTTTTTTATCTCCTTGATCGTTTGTAAGTGATCCACAGTTCTTAGTTGAATCTACTTTTTGTCTGTAAACACTGGTGCATTTGCCTGAAAGTTAACGGTGTTATTGTGCTATAAAAAAAAACTTTTTTGTGAAATTAATTTTGTACTGTAATGTTTTCTATACAACCTTTGCATGATCACTTTAATTTATTAAACCACACTTTGACAAACTCCTCCTGAATTGTTGCCTTAATAAAGAATCATCACTTATTGGCAATAAAAGACATATTTGTTTTTTTTTTCTCTTTATGTTTTCCAAGTATTATATGTTGGTCTAATGTTTCTTTGATGAGAAAAAATACCCTACTTAAGGAAAAGTTAGATTATGTGCATTTTTTTTTATCTATATGCCAATAGGTCACTCTGGTTCTTTCTAAAATATTACTGCGTCCTTGCTGTATCTGTGTTTTAGGCTTTCTTTTTGCTCAGTTCAGAGATATGATAATATGCATGTATTCAGCGGGTAAATTAGTAATCCAGACAAGCAAGTTACCAACTTACAGCAAAGTTGTACAAATTATGAAAAACAGGCACAGATCCAGTGTGATGTGTAAAAAAAATGTTTACTTCCAATGGGGATAAGACTCAAATAGCGCTTGGAAAACAGTATGAATGCTGGTGTTTATTGTAGCAGTATCTAAATTTGCAGAGGCATTCAGGTGTAGCTGCAGACTTGGATGTGTTAGGAAAAATCCCTATACTGATTCTAATGAGGGCAATACCTAGACTTGAAAGCTGAACTACAAGCAACATCAATACATTAAATAGATTGATTAAAATAAACAGGGGGCAGTTATCTGTTAGCTGCTAAAAATCTGGAAGATTACTCAAGATCAGAATCAATACAGGGTTTATGAACTATCCCCTTACAGAAGAAATAGCAATTTAATCGGTTTAATTTGAGTTAATTCCAATGGAAAAGTTTTTAATTGATGACATGTTTTTCTAATTATTTAATTGAAAAACTTCTTACCTTGATGCTGTGTCCCTGTTCGTATTTGGAAGAAATGGGAAGTTTCTTTTTCCTCATCTTTTATAGCGCATGTGCACTTTAAGGCATATATCTGTGGTGAAGCTCAACTTTCTCACGGCTGTTTGTTGAAAATGACAGAGGATCGTAAGAGAAAGTTTTACAAAATTCATGAGATGACAAGAAAAGCCTCAGAAGAGACAGATATATCCCGGGATCTTGTGCGCAGAGAACTCTCCTCGCAAAGCATTATGGGATTTGCTGTCACAGCGGCCGGTTGTCGGCAACTAATAACAAAGATGGCGCAGGCACCGCACTCTGAAGGAGGAGTTACGTGACCAACGGGGAGCAAAAAGTAGTGATCAGCTGTGTAAAATGGAGCCTAGGCAGAAGTTCAACTGAGGAAACTAATTGCTCGCCTATCCACCTATGACACAGCCAATCAGCTTTGAACCACACCTCCATGAAAGCCAATCGGCATCCAAAGTTCATCTTAAAAGGCTTTCGATCCGCAACTCGTCTGCTACCTAGTTCGCAGACGGCGGTTGAGCTGTGTGACTTCATTCAGATGACCACATTTCAACCCACCTCTAGCCAATCCTCCACCATCGTAGCTAAAACATCATCAGAGTTTCATTACTCCCGGACTTACTGCATTCCGCATCTCATTTCAACTAGTCTAGCAGAAGACTGCCATGCTGACCCTGGTTCTGCCAGAGGTTTCTTCCCAGTGGGGAGTTTTTCCTCTCCACTGTCACTACATGCTTGTTCATCATGGATAGGTTCTCTTAACCTGTGTTATCCAACTGGACTTCCATCTTCCAGGTCCCTGAGTGAAGCTCTAGTATCAGCTCACGCAGTCCACTTGATCTCCCCATAAAGCTCAGCATACCGTCTCGCTAACCAGCAGTCTATAGACTGACCAACCTTATCTATCTCCACTCCACCACCAGTTTCAGTCCTGGGGAGGAAACAGCCCTGCTCTTTACTCCTGTTCATGCATATCTATCAAAATTCAGCGTATGTTTCCTGCCGTGGTCTGAGCGCCAAAGACCAGCTAATTGTATCAAAAAAATTTCTTCTAATTGTCTGTCCTCTTCGTGTCAGTTTATCAGATCGAACTGTAAGTTAACTGAGTTTGCTATTAAGTCCACAGTATATTTCCCGCTCTATATAGTGATAGAGGGATTTAGGGGTTAGGGTGGACATTCGGGCACAGTAAGCTTGTATTAGCTATGAGAACAGCAACTTTGAAACAGAGCGTGCACGAGGAGAAATGGGCTTGTGCATGCTCTCTTGCGCGTATCATTTTAAAAGTGGACAGGGCTGGTCTTTTAAAAAATTTGGGAAAATCCTCCACAATACCCCCACAATATTTAAGTAGTTATGTTCAACACAGATGAATGTTCATTGAATCATTAAAAGAGTTTGTATTGTACTTTGGAGGCCCGTAAACATACCAACACATATAGATAGATAGCAATCATTTCAGCTCACTGATGAGATTTTTTAACTTTCAACTAATAAAAAACAAAACAGTTCAGATCAAATATTTAAATTAGACCAGTAAACACAATAACTACATGAATATGGGCTTATTGAATACTTAAAGTTGTTATATTCTAAATGTACTCTTAATCTCACAATGAGTCTGACTGGAACACATATCCTAATTTATTAAATAAATCCATAAGTTTCTGTTATTTATTTAATAGATTTACATAATGCATGGCAAACCCACTCAAGATAAATTTAAATCCAATTCATATTTAGTGTCACTATCTTTTGCATTTGGATAAGCATTGAGTCCTACAGGAACCCTTACAGAAAATCTTTGATTTTAAAGAACTGGGTAAAAATTCTGTGAATGGATGATACAAAAGAGATTTTTTTTTTTTTTTTTTTTTTGCAAAGCGTGTGTTCTCTTACTAGTCTAAAACTAATTTTGTATTTTGGAGAAAACTATGCAGGAAATCAAAATGTCTGATGGTGGTGACATGATGATCTGAAGCCTCTTTCTGTGCCTTATGAAACCACTGAAACCCTTGGCTCACAAAGCAGGACACTGGCTGCTGTATGAATAATAGGAAATCAGAACAGGGTTAGTTTAAAACAATTTTTTAACCTAAAGATCTACAGTAACCTATTGGTATTTCTAAAACTATTTATGCAGCATCTAAACACACAGGTATAATACTGAATATTTATAAATATAGCTTTCCAGAAGGTTTGTGTCTCAGAGGGGACTTTCAAACTGCCGGCAAATGCGACCCAAATCCAATTCTTTGGTTGACATATAAAATCTTTTCCCCTGCAAAAAAATCTGATATGTGCTACTTCCATATGTGGTTCTAAATCCGATCTATAACTGATTTAATATTACAGCTTTTGCAGTCTGAACTTTTATTTTGCATTTCATCTGACTTTAACCTTATAAACCAGGCTCTCATTCATACTGACTCCTCTCCATCAAAGCAAGAAACACATTGTAACATATTTTAATATTATTTTTAGGTTATGATGTGATCATAATACTGTTTACATCTTAAAATAACACAGAGATGATGATATCTGATATTACTTCTTTACAAAGTGCTCCGAGTTTTGTCTGTGAAATACTCAGACTGTATTTAAATAGTAGTCTGAATGACTATGTAGAATAAAATCTGATATCATCAAAAAAATTTATTTGAGCATTACGATTTGCAGTGTGGATGTAGCCAAGAAGATCAGGTGCTTTGCTTACTATATATGTCTTCTCTGCAGCTTTGCCCCGCCCCGCTCCGTCAGGCCTGTGATGGGTCAAGCAACTCAATTTCCTCACGTCCCCAATCTTTTCAATCAGCCAGCCACTCAACCACAAGCCTCATTCATCTCACTTAGTGACAAATGACCATTTTGGCAACATTTGAATTAGAAAGACTTGGTTTAACCCCTCCCCCCTCGTCCTTTCCAATCAACCACTCAGGTTACCTGAATTCACAGCATTTAAGGACCAGTTTTCTGAGCGTGCTGCATGTCTCACATTTTATTGTGCTCAGATGTTTGACACGTTTGGTGCTCTGATTAAAGCTGACTGAAAGCCCAGATGCACTGTTTCCACCCTCTGGAGGACTGTACCTCATGTGTTTACATCTGCCCTAGAAATGATTAAATGTTCAGTGAATCTAAACAGAAGCATCAATCTGCAGGGGGTTGATGAAAACTGGACCCATTAGAGGTTTAGGCCTCGATGGAGATTGGGAGGATTAAAGAGCTTTTGTATGGGATATTAAAAGGCTCTTTAAACAATGTAAAAAAGCACAGCACTGTAACATAAATATGTAGATTACAATTCTGTTCCTTTAGTTTCAAATATATATATACCGGTATATATATATTTTTAGACTCAAGGTTTCCATCTTCAGTTCTCAACCGCCAGAGAGTGTTCCAGCTTCTGCAAAGCTCATGCAAACTGCTGATTAACCTCAGCAACATGTCCCCTAGCTTTGCCATTAATAAACCACTCATTTGATTCAGGTGTGTGGAATCAGGGACAATATCTAAAACATGCAGGACTCCAACCTTTGAGGACTAACTACTGACAGCACTGTGCTAGAACCAGAAAAACAATAAAATTATTGAACATACTGAAGATAAATGAAATACAACTGGGCTTGATGCACTTCTTTGACAGAAAACGCCAAACTGAAACTGCAAATCATTATCTAAATAATTAATAATTAACTATTGCAGTCTAACTTCTCTTTCTGCACGGACATGTGTAGCAATATTTTGAAGCTCTCTTTCAGGGCTAAGCAATATTTTATTATCAAAGTAGAAGGGAGACTTGTAGTGTTTAGTATTGCCTCATAAACCTTTGGCACCTACATTACATTAGTGCATTTTAAAACAAATTAAAAATAAAACCTTCTGATTAAAAAGCTAAAACTCAATCATGATAAAAAGCATTTTGTGGCTGTTGTTGGGAAGAAATGTTTTTAGAGACATCTTGTTTTAACATTGAAACAATGCGGTCAGCACCACCCCAAACTATTTGATAAAATATTTGATATTACTTACATTTGGTGGCTTTTACATTTATAGTTTATGTCAAAGCAGCCATTTGCCACTTTTTTTTTTAAATAACAGGAAGGCTCAACCCTCAATTGATTGCTTTTTGTTCGTTATATCTCCAAAAAAACACTGATTTGGTCTTCCCACCCGAACAAAAAATTCAACGCTGGCC